CCCCCCCACTTTGGTGCTGATTCCAACCACTCTTGTGCCTCACAGGCGATTCTGAACGGCGTCTTCCAGGTGTCTTGCGGGCGTCTTTCAGGCGCCCCTGAGAGCCTGAGAGGCGTCTTACGGGCGCCTCTGAGAGGCGTCCCACAGGCGTCCCTGAGAGGCGTCTTACAGGCGCCCCTGAGAAGCGTCTCACAGGCGCCTGAAAAGCGTCCTGCAGGCGCCTCTGAGAAGCGTCTTGCAGGCGCCTCTGAGGAGCGTCTTACGGGTGCAGAGGCGTCTCAAAGGCGCCTTTGAAATGCGTGTTCCTTACTGGCACCTCTGAAAGGCGTCTCGCAGGCGCCTCTGGGAGGCGACTTACAGGCCCCAGGCTCGAGCCCTCGGCTTCTTGCAGGTTTCAGGCTCTCGCCGTTTGTTGCTCAAATCCTCTGCTCGAGCCCTCTTCCTCCTCCCCCTCCTCCTCTGGCCGTGCCCCATGGCTCCCACATCCGAGGGTCGTCGTCGAGGACCTTGGCAAGCGGCGCCGTCGCCGAAACCCTCAATCCCTTAACCCCTTCAACCCTTAAGCCCATAACCCCTCAGACCTTTAAGTCCTTAAGCCCTGAAGCCCTACACCGTTAAATCCAAAAACCCTTAAGCCTTTGCGTCCAGCTCTGAAAACTCTTGAAATCATGAAATCCTTCAGCCTGAAGTCCTCAAACACTTACACCCTTAGCCATTAAAGCCCTTAAGCCCTTAAGCCCTCAAGCCTGAAACCCTTAAGCCCTTACACCGTGAAGCTCTCATACCCTCAAAGTATGATCCCAAGGCAACCCTTGTCAGGAATCTCGCGGGATTGTAAACATTCGAGCACATACCTGCCAGACGGAAGAAATAGGTGGAAACATGAAGTAGGAAGGCGGATCAAGTAGATTGGGGTCGGGCCCGCCAAGGGAAAAGCAAAACACAGCAACCCATATCGAGTGTTGACGTACGAAGGAGTCTTAAGTAGAGTGGGATCTGGCTACCAAGAAACAGCTATGTGCAACGAGTGGCGTGGAAACGACGTTTATGGTTTTGATATGTATTAACATCGACCGGTAAGTACAACTGTACGTGGCGGGGCCAGTTCGAAGTAGTACACGTTTGGTTTTTAATCCTGATTGGAAAACGTATTAGTTGGTTGGGATTCGTCCAACATGCGTCCGGGCTCCCCCTTGCTTTTCTTGTAAAGGACCCCCCCACACCCTTGCCAACAACGGCAGAAAACGGCCTCTTCAAGTCACTCGAACGCTTTTGCGCGGAAGCTGAAGGGGGCATCGCGCTAGTCAAATCCCACCAGGCTTTTGGGCGACAGGTGGTCTAACGAGGGTCTCCTTCCTCGTCCACAACCCCTCCTCCCTTCGGGGAGGGAACACCTCCCCCTCCCCTCCCTGGCGTTTTTCCCTACCTAGGCTCTGCCTAGAAGGGTTCTTGCTCGCTTGGCTTAAATGGGCCGGGCAGTGCAAACCGCCTCGGGCGGTTCCCCCAGTCCCCTGGGAGCCAAGCGAAAGCAACAGCAAAGGTAAAAACAAACGCGCGGTTCCCCCAGTTGCGCTCCCTGTGTGCCAAGCAAAAGCACAAGCAAAGGCAAACGTGAATGCAAAACACGAAGGCAAAGCAAAAGCAAAAGCACAGCATAGCATAGCAAAGCATAGCATAACGCAGCATAACATAGCGCAGCATAGCATGGCATAGCATAGCCTAGCCTAGCCTAGCCCAGCATAGCATTGCGTAGCATAGCATAGCAAAGCAGAGCAGAGCAGACCAGAGCATAGTATTGCATCGCGCAGCACAGCATCCACTATTGTGGGGAGGTTGTGGTCACACCACTCTGGTGAAACCGCACATTCCAGCTCCGATGATGCCCGCCGAAACAATGCTGAACAGCTTGTTGCACCGATCTGGGAGTTGCTGCTGCTGTACAGTTTCGTAGGAACGTTCGGTGTAGCAAGTGTTGCACAACCTTGCTCAATGCCAAGTCGTGCGGTGTAGGCGGGATCCGGAGCATTCTCAAGCACACCCGGTGAGCGAATGCAGAAACATGCGTGTGTGTGTCTGTGCGCAAGCAGAGCAAAAGCAAAACCAAGCAACAACACAAACAAAAGCAAAGCAAAAGCAACAGCAATAGCAATAGCAAAAGCAAAAGCAAAGGCAAAAGCAAAGGCAAGCAACAACAAAACCAATGCGAAACTGTAGATGTAGATGTAGATGTAGATGTAGGTGTAGGTGTAGATGTGGATGTCGGTGTAGATGTAGATGTAGATGACGATAAAGATGTGGGTGCAGATGTAGGTGTTGATGTAGGTGTAGATGTGAGTCTCGCTGTTGATGTAGATGTAGATGTAGATGCAGGTGTAGATGTAGATGTAGCTGTAGATGTAGGTCTAGATGTCTATGTAGGTGCCGATGTACATGTAGGTGTAGATGTGGATGTAGATGTAACGAACTCCCCAGTGCCCCGCCCTCATCTCCGTGCCAGCTTGCTTTTGCTGCTGTCTCGGCGACTTGCTGCCTGCTTCTGCTGCTGCTTCACTTACGGCGTGGCGTCGGCGTTTCTGGCGCTACTGCTACTACTACTCCTACTACTACTACTACTACTACTACTACTACTACTACTGCTACTACTGCTACTACTGCTACTACTGCGCTACTGCTACTACTACTCCTACTACTACTACTACTACTACTACTACTACTACTACTGCTACTACTGCTACTACTGCTACTACTGCTACTACTACTACTACTACTACTACTACTACTACTACTACGACTACTACGACTACTACTACTACTACTACGACTACTACGACGACTACGACTACTAAGACTACTACTACTACTACTACTACTACTACTGCTGCTGCTGCTGCTGCTGCTGCTGCTGCTACTACTACTACTACTACTCCTGCT